TCACCAATGATATATGTCCCTGAATGTCTCGTCTACAAGTTCTTCACGAAAAAGTGCTGACCTGCATTATCTCCAACACAGAGAGATTTCTGGTTTGGCTTCTGTGAAACTCATTCTTATGTGCCAGCTTTTGCCTTGGCTTTCCATGGGAACCTGGGGGCCTGACTTTAACATTCAGTGCCACAGCGATCTGTTCCAGCAGCCTTTTCTGCATGAGAGCTTTATAACCAGTAGACACATTGCCCTTTAAATTACCTCCACTCATCTTAAGATCTTATCAGACATCCTTCAGCAGATGTTCATACACTGAAGACTGCATAAACAACCCAGCTGCCACAAAGGGTTCATGGAAAGTATTTTAAATACACATACCAGTGCTTTTCAAATTAAGTTAGAGAGAAGGCACATAAACATGGAATATATGGTCTGTATCTCTACAAAATGTTTCTAACAAATACAAACATTTGGGGTGGGTTTTTTTGTTTTTTTTGTTTTTTTTTTTTGAAAAGCTGAATGGTATTATGTTCTTTCTAAGATTGCTATTAAGAAACAAACAGACATCTCTCCTTCCCTTTATTTCCATTCCTGCCCTCACTTACTGCCATATGACTTCACTGGAAAATCTCTGATGTTGCCTGGCCGTTACAGCTCTGTTCCCTTCTCTTTATGGAGTTTTACCTTCTGCGCCATGTCTCTGATAAGGAGAGTGTTTGAGGGAATGATGGACATTAATTAGGGATTAAATCCTTCCCCAGTGACAAGTGAATGGTAGTGGAGGGTAGTGGTTTTTGTGCAAAGTATTATCACAGTTTTTCACATTAAACTGAAGAAACAGGTTAAGTAATCTTCTAAGAAAAGAGTATGAGGACAAGAGGTTGGTTACATTTCTCACCTTCTGTTTTTGACTACTATGTTACATTCAACACAGACTGTGACTATATTTAACATGTTTTTAATTGATTAGTAATCACATATTCACCGTACTTCAGTATTCTGCTGTAAGAACTGAATTTGCTGAACTTGCAGGTGAAAAGAACCCTAAATATATAGGGTTATTTATGTAGAGACAAGAGCTTGATATCGGAAAACTCTTTGAATTCTCTTCCTCTCTCTCGGGATAAGTACCTCATGAGCTGGTATGCTTGCAGAAGTGTGGTGTTGTGTGATGGAATTAATAATCCTTATGGAGAGTATGAAGCATCTCTGACGTGTGTGCAGCATTACAGCTACCCTGATATCCCCTTAGCAGTTTCACTGAAATCACTGCTGAAGTGAACATTAGGGATGCAGTCTTCTGCCCACAGTGTAATTCTCTTCTTTACTATAAAGTTCACAGTTTTTTCTGAATTGCTTCTCTGTTTTCTTTCACCAGAACTGAAGAGGATGTTCCACAACACGAACAGGCTGGCTGCTCAAAGGTACATTTTGCTCCCTGGAAACACAGAATATCCTGCCTTTGGAAACGGAAGAATTACTTGTGACTCAGCCTAAGTGAGGCAAAGCAGTGAAAATTACCTTTGACTGAGCGCACTCATTGTACCTATTGACCTACGGAGATGTGTCTGCCTTCTTGTTTTTTCATACCTTGTGCCTAAACCACTTTCTGATCAGGAATAACACAATTCAAGTCTTCATCTTTGCAACATTTCCAAAGGCATTGCCAAAGGTCTCATTACCTTCAACAGCCATGTCCTCTCTTCACTTTTTCAAATATAACTATGACGTGTTAAAAAACAGAAGAGAAAATGCTGGCAGTGTAAAACAGTGCTTATGCTGCTCTGCCGATGGATCCAAAAGGAACAAGGGATTCTCGGTGAAAACAAACAGTGAGTTTCTGGAGCATTAAATACTGCTATATTATCATTCACTGATCACTGCCATCATTGCTTTGGCACCTCAGCATAACCATGATGCCAATACTGTTTTTAAAAAAATTGCAAGTTATTAATCACTCTTTGCAGAGAAAATCCTTGGCAATTCCTTCACATCGATCAGCATTGCCTGAGGAGGGGACATTGCACACCTTGAAAAGAAGAGCTGTGAGTTCTAGATGATGGCATACACTAAAAAACCAAGAACTCTCAAGAGAGAGGCCGGCTAGTGAGTATACATTTATTTCTCATTCAGAGCTACTATTCTCTTGCCATCACAATTTTGGCGTGGTTTCTCATTTTTTAAACACCTCATTCACATGCTAAAATTTGCAGTAAATGTTTTTATGTGCAGAATTATGCCAGATGATGTCAGAGGCATCAAAGGCATCTGTACCTTGGAGCCAGTTTTCAGTAATCAAGAAAGCAAATAAACAGAATGCATGTGCACATAATATGTAGTGATACAGCCAGAATTTTAAATGATTTAGTACTACTCTTATTATTGATATTCACAATGTGACAATTTCTGGATCCATAATCAGGCAGTAACCTCCACTATGGTAAGTATGTGATCTTGGAAGCTCTATGGAATTCAAAGTATAATGGTGATATTAGGATGAAATTCAAGCTTGCACTATAGTTACAGCTGTGGTATAGCTGGGTACCTGGGCTGACCCAGCACACTGAGTCATTAATGCTCAGGGTGGCCCAGGAACTCCCCAGTGAGATGAGGTGATGGGCTGAACCCCTGGACAGCTTCCCAGCAAAGCAGCTGATCAACAGTTACGGGAGTTCTCCAAGTGGGAATTATGGACAGTTTGGGAGATTTCCCCATGTAGCTCTTGCTGTGTACACACCAGTTAAGATGATACACTCTGTATACTTAAGATGTGTTCATTAATTCCCTGAGAGGAGAACCTGTCAGTCTCAGGCACCTCCCCAGGCAGCTCCTGCTGTTGAACTGACCAAACTGCACATAGATCATTTCAATCAGTAGAAACTGTTCTTGCATGTGCAGAAACGATCGCATAGGCTGTTGTGCATAGCTAAGACAGTGGATGGTTTGTACATACTGTAAGATAATCAGAGACAATGGATGATGCATATACTGTTGTGGTCACCCAGGACCACAGGCCAGCTGGTTTGTAAGAATCCATCAACACAACAGTTCCGGGAGTCTTGTCCGATACAGCTGAAGATGCTCCTGAAAGGATGGCTGCAACAGAGACTCCCATCACCACCTGGACGGTGACTGGCTGGTCTCTTGGAGAGATCTGACTCCCCATGTGAGCTTTATTGAGGGTTGTTGGTTGTATGGTTGAAAAATACTACAATTTCTTCTGGCTCAGGTCCTCCCTGTTGGTACCCTATTCCACCTTTGGCTCTCTTCTTTACAATTTGCATTTAAACCTTTTCATATTTGTAGGGATATCTATATGCACATTGTATGGAAGCATGTCTGTGCAGGTCTCCAAGAGTGTATCTGGGCTAAAACCCAAAAGTATGATTCCAGGTTGTAGACACATAGCCAAGCTTGTTTACTCCAATTAGAATTTAGGTACAACATAGCACAGCTACAGCAGCAAGCAATCCCAGTGTGGGCTACAAAATCTTAGCAGGATCCTGAGTGAACATTTGATGCCGTGTGATCTCACGCCGTTAGTAAATGGGAAGTCAATATCTACACCTTGGTTTCCCAGTCATTGCTTACAAGGCATTTACCCTGATGCACAGTATGTTGCTGCAGTTGCCACTACCAGAGCTAGTCAAGAATTTGGAACAGGCATTTTACATCGCACGAGGGTAAGTAACTTTAGATAGGACAACAGGCCTTCGGCAACATTAAATCATGAGCTATACACAGTTGTGTGGTTGTAATTCCACTTGTTTGTGAGTAAGAGAGCAGCTTGGATCACTCATGACTCATCACCATCTCCAGTAGGATGTCAAGAAGCCCCAACAGACTGCAAGGGCCTGGGGCAGTGGAGGCCGACACAACAGTGGACCCAGCGGCTGTGTTCAGCCTGTGCGGTGTGGGTGGAGGGGTCTTTCTGTATCCTGAAATCATTAGTGGGTGTTATGCTGACTAGCAAGAAAATACCTCATGATATATACAGAACATTCATTTAACACCCTAAATATAAGGTGGATACTGGGGGTGGAAGTGATCAAGATTTTACTGCCAGAAATCCTGTGAAAACAATTATTTAGCAATTCAAGTGAGTTCGTGCCACTTTCTACTTAATGCTCGAGGGAACACCAGAGCTGGCAGTCCGTAATTACTTCTGCACAGAAACAGAGTTTGACACACACTTAGAATTTTTTAAGCGAGTTAAAAAGAAAGTCTGATGGTTTCACGCCAAACCGCTTAAAGCAAGTACCTCTGAAAGAAGACAAACAGCATATTAAAAAAACTTTGAGTTCCTTATCAGTATTTGATGTGAGAAAGAGTGCAATTCCAAAAGCTCAAACGGAACAGACCTTACCTGTGCCAGATCCTGTAACTGGCAGCCTTTTACAATTTGACACATAAAAACAGCGCACTGCGTTCCTGCTCACAGTCCAGGAGGTGAATGAATATAACCTTTGCTTCTTTCATCTCTTTTGCAAGCAGACTCAGACTTACACGAACATTTGTGTTAGCGTTAGGGAAAAGAGAATAAACCTCAAGTCCTGTGATAAATGTCTCTATGTGAAGATATTACAGAAAAGTGGGATCTGACTGTCCTGTTACTCCCCTCTGTAGAATAGTTCCAGTACAGAAAGAATAAAATTCTCGGTTCTGTACATGTTGAACACCTACACAAGCCTATTTTATAGAAACATCTCATACAGATAACATAGAGTTAAATAAAAAGCAACAGCAAAACAGACTGCTCATATGTATAACACAACAGATTTTCCCTCTGTTTTTAATGTCTGTATGGCTTATGTATCTTGAACAGATGTTGTGACCTTTTTTCTGCACTGCTGCTTTCTGTTATAACCAACTAGCAAGATTTAATATGACCACTGAATTTCCTGCTGCATATGACACAAGAACTATTTTTAATACTGCAAATCTTTTGCATGATTCATGCTAATCAAATTAATTATCATGTGTCATAGAGGGTTGTTGTTTTTTACCTGAAACTGTGTGATCCTTTGGGTCTCTCAGTAGTTTGAGCCTTGCATGAGGGAAAATGTACTGCAGGGGCTTCCCATTTATCTGAGGAACACAAATATACATGTCATAAAAAAGATAAACCAACATCAATTGTATCAATAATTTTAGACAGTTGAAACAAAAACAAGCAAAACATTTATTTCATCCAGGGAAATATCACAACTTGAAAATTTCTCCCCCAAGTTTCAAGACATTTGTCAGATGGCAAAATCCTTCTGCAGGGGAATGAATATTTGCTTCCATAAAGCCAGATTCATTTCAAATATGGCTTTAGTTTTGATTTTTATTTCCTAATGACTAGAAAGTGGTCACTGTCTTCTGTAGCTTCTCTTAACATTAATCGTTCATTTGTCCAAGCAATGTTCAAGAGAAGAATGAAATTAAATATAATTCCTGTAATTGTTATAAAATCCTGTTCATGCAGACCTAAAACAAAATGGTGGTTGAATGTGTACACAGCCACGAGTTACTGCTTTAGTTTCAGCAAAACTACATATTCCAATGTACCTCTTGTCATCAAATTTCAAAAGCCTTTTGAAAGACCCAACCTAAAACTTTTAGGACTATATTTTATACGAAAATGTGCAACATTCACCCAGGCTGATACTGGAAAGTGGCAAAGCTGAAAGAAATCCATCTCTACAACATGTCCTAAAGCACCAGGTTTCCCGCTGGGATGGTCCCACGCGCCCCACGAGGCGGGCACAGGAGGGGCCACGCAGCAGGCACCCACCCACCCGCCAGGGACGATCGCCGCGAGCCCTTTGCAGAAAGGGCTTGAGCTGCAACACCAGCACACCTCACAGCTATCACACACCCTCTTTGCCTGCAGTTTTGGCCTTTTGGAAGCAAAGCAGAATCCATCAGCTCTTGGCCTCTGCCATGCTAGTGCCAAGTCTGAGCGCTGCACCCAGACCGAGAGAAGAGAGCGCGGCTGCCTGGGACTGCTCCAGGCTGCGTGTCAACGGGATGAGACCTGGGGGGCAGATTCAAGGAGCCAATGGGACAATATTAATCAGCATGGGTGTGCAGCAGCCTATCAGCAACCTGCTGCCAAGAGTTTATTACTATTATTTATATTTAAGTAGCAGTTAAAAGGATTAACCTCCTCCTGCACTAAGCACTTCAAACCCAGCTTCTGCCCTGGAGAGTTTGTGATGTTAGTGGACAGCACACATAAATGATGGGAGAGGAAACAGAGAAGTCAAGGGATTTGCTTAGGTCAATCCCACAGTAGGCAGAAGAGTTCGTACATCTTTTGCTGTAATTCAGTTTCTTATCCAGTGGATGACATTGCATCTAGAAGGCTGAAACCCTCCCATAACACACTGAGAGTAGTATTGACTGTAATTAATCTCAGACAAAAAGGAGATCATGGGTTTGGTAGTGGACAAATACTCCAAAACAAATCAGAACTTGAGATCAGGCAGACTTTAGGACTTATCATGGAATTTTGCCAGGACATAGGGTCTAATACTGCCAGAAGTGTATAAAGTGCCATGAGGCTTCCACACTTATAAATGGATAGGGACATTGCTGTGTTTTTAATGATATTATTGGAAATTCAGCAAGTGTAATTTAAGAGTAAAAATGATGTCTTCGCACATGTAGCTTACATAAAATTGTAAAAAAATCTGAAATAATGTATCTAATTTTATTTTTAATTAAATGAAAAAGAATACAAAATGATGCAACTCAAAAGCAGCAGTATGAACACATTTGAACATGTCCTTAGCTGATCCATTTTGGTGGGAGCAATTCAATTTAACTGAGGAACACTGCAGCTCATAAACTTCAATTCACATCTTATCTTTCTTTAGCAAGATTTCTTTTTTGAATAAATAATAATACAAGAATATTCAACACCATATTGTACATGATTTGCTGACAAATATATCAGAAAATATAGACTGTCTCCTACTTTAGTCTATTACTTCGTCACTACTTTCACTTCCAGAATTTTATGATAAATATAAATCTTGGCAATTCATATCATTATGAATAAAAGGTGATTTCCCTTTACCTGAATATATGCTGGGGTGTCCTTCTAACTGACCATTCCCCAGTTACCCCAGTGAAGATACATCGGGACCCCACTGAACTCATGGCAGTGTAAATCTGAGCTACGGCGCACAAGGGGCAGTTCCTCTGCGGCAAGGCTGCAGGAATGGAGGATGTGTAAGTCCCCAAGCCCAGATTTAGGTCACAGGGCAAGAGGTGACTTGATCCTGCTTATTTGCTACAAACCCCACAGATTCCTGTCATCTGTCCTTGCCATGGAGATCCCTTCCTCATTCTGGGGAGCATTCAGTACACTGGAGTAATAACTCTTGCAGTTCAGCGCTGGCAATGCCATCCTTTTCTGGCCACAGACACATTTTGACTCTCTGTGTATCTTAGAATCATAGAATCACAGAATGGTTTGGGTTGGAAGGGACCTTAAAGATCATCTAGTTCCAACCCCCCCTGCTGCGGGCAGGGACACCCTCCACTAGACCAGGTTGCCCAAAGTCCCATCCAACCTGGCCGGGAACACTTCCAGGGATGGGGCATCCACAGCTTCTCTGGGCAACCTGTGCCAGTGCCTCACCACCCTCACAGTCAAGAATTTTTTTCCTTATATCTAATCTAAATCGACTCTCTTTTTAGTGCAAAGCCATGACCCCTTGTCCCATCACTCCATGCTCTTGTACACAGTCCCTCTCCAGCTTTTGTGTAGGTCCCTCCTATTGTGCTCTTTGAGCTGAAATGGGACTCAGGTCACATTTTTCTGCACATTACTCAGTGGGCCCTTGGGAGTTACATCCCAGTGAGTTAGATGAAAACTGGACTATAAAGCGTTTCCTCCAGGAATTTAAGCTCTGGTCACATGTTTCATGTTATTAGTCAGCTCAAAGCCCCTCCAAAATAGAATGAATGGCAAATAAATGTGCTGAGGTTTTCTAACACTGTTACAGAAAATCGGTTTAAATATACACTTTGTTTTCCCTTTGTTGTCTTTACATATTTTGTCTGATAAAGAAATTCTATGGAAGCCTCATAGAAGGGAATTCTATAAGTTAATTAGGACAGTTAAGAAGAATAAATTTCTTTAACGCTATATTTAAGTTTAAGAAATAAAATTCATCAAGTGTATTTTAATATTCCAGGTAAAGTCCATAGTAACAGCTGTAACATATTAACTGGTCTTTGGATCTGGTCATCAAAGCCACAGTAATTTCTGGTGGTTCCCCTTGCACCAATAACTTAGGCAGGGCCTGATAAGGTGAATCTCAGCAGCTACGCTGAGAAAGAAATACAGTCTTCAAGGGAAATTTCACCTGAGTTAGGTATCCAGGAACAGGAGGGTGGATGCTCAAGGTGATGGGTTAGACAGTGTCTATCCTAATTTCTGAATATCACGGGTACTTGCATGAGTGCACAAGGCCTGTGAAAGCTGGCACCAAGAACTCCCACAGCTAAGGCGATCCGTCCCCTTTGAACCGGTACGTCTTCTCTGTGCAGAGCACAAAGGCCATGTTCTCTAGAAATCCTAAAGGTGGAAAATTCTCCCTACAGATAGATCCCTGACAATGGAGACATTTTGCAAAAGAAATATTAAAGAAAAGCTTAACAAATGCAATGTTCCTGCTCATTAATAAATTGCAAAGTGAGTGGTCTTTGCTTCTGCAATCAGGTCAGTACAGAACTCTTGATTTAGAGTTTTGATTTAGAAGTCATTTTGACATGCAGAGATAACAACATTTCTGAGTAACTAAAAATGAGAAACTACCTGCTAAGTTCCATCTTGAATTACAGTGAGGGGGTAATTATCTAATCATTAGATTAGATATTTGAACAATTACACTAAATTTGGAAATGTCCTATTTCTTGTTGTATTTTCAGAGAATCTGAATCACAAAATGTCTTGCCAGCCCAAGCCTCCAACAGGGAAAGAAGTTTACTACACATTAAAATGAAATCTCCTTACTAGTTGGAAAATGGTCAAAACTAAGCAGCATAGACTTAAAAAAAAAAGGTAGAACAAGAGTTTGCAGGTAGCCTTCTGGATCTCTGTCACAAACAATATTTTCTCATTTTAACCCCACTGCTCACCTTATGACCCATTTTTTTTCATAATTTCTAAGTATTCAAGTTCCCCTAAAAAGGTATGATTTAAATTTCAAGAGAATAGTACAGGCTCATGAACCAAGAGAAGCATATACTTTCTGAGGACCTTTAGCAACAGGGGATTAACATTCAAAAGGTTGCATCTCTAGAGCCCTAGCCTTCTTTTTGTGATTAGAAAACCATTGCCAATGCGAACTGATGACAATAGACTGCTATTATGACAAGTTTGCAATTTTATTATTCATTTAGGGCTTAAAAAGACTGTGATCACTGAAAGTTCTGTATTTAAAGCCCCTCACTCAGAAGCTACTTATCTCCTGTTAATATACTCTCACTATCCACCTCCTTGTCATGATCTCTTACTCTGCTGGCACCTCCTCCTACTGTTCCTTCCCAAACAGTTTGAAATAGCCAGTTTAGTTCAGGATATGCAAATAATATTCACAGAAAATAGTCACAAAAAGAGCCTCAATGGCTGGAGATTTAAAGAAGTTGCAGCTCAACTGGCAGCGACTAAGCAAATTGTTGAGGTCAGCAGGGATCAGTGAGAAATCCGCAATAGATTATGTATTATTTAAGTTTAAACCATGTTTACCCTCCTCAGGTAAGCAGTTCAGAATCACTATACTGGGAAACAGCTATTAAGATACTAAACTGCATTGCAATTTAATGTCATTTAAGAATACTACATAGCACCACAGAAGTTGCTATAGAAACAAATATATTTTAATATTAATAATACAGTATGTGAGCTTAATCTACTAGGCTATAAGAAATCCATGGAAACCTAGAAGTTCAGGGCTGTCATTCTGTTGTGTTCTTGCTTCAAAAGCACAAGGTCGTGCTTTATGTATTACCTTTAATTGTACAAGCTCTGTGGGACATAAGCAGTTCTGATTTCATCTAGTAAGGAAATTGATGTTTCACACATGTGAAACAAAATCTTCTGGAAAACCAATGTTGTAGTTGTCAGTAAAATATTCACATTTTTTGCAAAGAAGAAAATACAAAAGGAAAATTTACAATGGATAAGTGTGTTTGGACACTTTGACTGATACATTACAAGCAGATTAGTGCTACTGATGTAAATACTTCCTGTTGTGGCTGGTTTGCGCTCAGTACAGGATATTAGAGCTGCAATGGCTTAATTACTACGCTAACTAGGAAACTGTCATCCTAACTGATTTCAGGAAAGCCTCTGTAACAAAGATCTGTGTGAAGGTGGAGCTGTTCACATGGTCAGGATGAAGAATTATTTGCTGGTTTTGGCTCCAGAGTACATTGTGTGTGACACTCAGCTCTCTGTGCAGAAGTGAGTGGTGGATACAGGAAACAGACAGTGTGGGACAATGAGTTCATAACTTCTTTGCTACAGAAGAGACAGAACTGAAAAAGCCTTTAGTGGCTGTTTAATTTGCCTCAGCACACTCATCAGCCTGAAAATTGTTTATTTTTTTTGATAGATTTAAAATAAAAAAAGGAATGATAAAAGAGATGTTAATAATGATTTATTTGCTTCTATTGGTAAGTGTTTTATTTCAGAATTCAGTGTGGAGCTAATGAATTTTTTTTTTAAATGGCTCTGACCTTTTTATATCTTATCTTAAAATAATTTAATTTCTGGATGTGTCTGAAAATATTTTTTTAAAGTTATATCTCAAACAAATGTTCACAGAAGCCATTTAACATACACAAGCTCTGCGTAACATTTGAAAGGCAGATGATGCAGAGTTGGTGAGAACTGGCATTCCTCTCTTCTGCAGACACATTGATACCATTTTGTACCAGTGTGTGACTGACAATAGCTAACCTGGATGGAAACAGATGAAGAAGGAACTGTTGTAAAGCTTTTCCTTCCACATCACTTTTCTTCTGCAAAGGCTTTATACAGCATCACACAGAATTATTTAGTACATGGTCACTCTCCAATTTCCATCCCAGATTTTACAAAACATTAAAAAATGCCTTTGGCAAGATTTTTAATGTGGTGTCTCTATTTCCATATAAACATGTGGATATCGCAACAGCTTCAGAGAGAAAAAATTAAATATTTTCCTTCTGGAAAGAAAACAAGAACTCTCAGGCCCCCTAGCATTCCTCCTGAAAAATTTCGATCAAAGTCTTTCAACTAGTGTAGTGCTATTTATATGACAGAAAATGCAAAGATTGGACCTCTGTGACTAGTAGTTTGCCCTGCAACTGTTTCCCAGGGCAAAAGCCCTGGAGTGCTACAAGTTAAATACATCTTACTGACCACCTCCATACCACAGAGCTCAGGATAACAGTAACCCACTTCTTGGACAAACCTGATTTTCAAAGCAATTTTTTCATTTTACATCATGATGCTGTAGTGGTCAAATACAATTATGTATGGTCAGAATAATGCATGTTTCTCATGGGGATTATAGTGCTCAGATAGGCAGTTTTTTATCTATTGCCAGTGATATTAAGAGTTGCAAAAACTCCAAAACATCCTTTATCCTGCAGTAAAATTGGTTCATAGAGTCAGTTATTTGAATAGATTCCTCTAAGACTTGTATCTTGTAAAACCCTCTTTCTCAACAAGAAATGGGTAGGCTCAGTACAACCTAGGCTGTGTGAATCTCAATATATGCTAAACTAGAGATAGGAAAAGAGGGAAAAATAAAAATAAATTACAGCCTGTATTGTAAGATATTTGAATGCTTACTTCATAAAATCTACATTCTACTGTCAAATGTCAGTGACAATGCTCACCAGCAAAAAGTTTTGAAGGCTTCATGAAGGCTTGTATATTATCTGGGGAATTAACATGAGCAATAAAAGCTATCAAGTAATTAAGTACCACAAAAGGGCCATGCAATACCTTCTCTTGCATCCATTGCATCTCATGGAAAACAGAGCATAATATCAATAAATCAGTAAAAATGATAAATGAAACAATCAAGTGAAGACCTTAAAGTTTTGAAATATAGAAACTTCATTAATATAAAGAGGAGATGTGATTGTATACTAAGGTGAACTAGATTTCACAGTCAGCAGGCTTGAAAAGCAGAATATGGTATTTTTCTTTCTTGCAATAATAAATGAAATACTCTAATTATTAGATTGATAAAGTTTTTCTGATTTATTCAGTAATTGATCATGGACTGTTGGGATTATACTGATCAACTAAAAGTGGGAACAAGTGTCAACAGGATAAAGCAACTCTTTTCCTTAAACTACTGAAAGAAGGGGCTTGAATTTAGATGGGATAAAGCTGATAAGGTAAAATGGGACAAACTGTTTTCTTTTTTTTAATTTATTTTTAATAGGAATAATTAATAGTTCTGGATAGCAGACTAGCTACTTTGAGATATGTTTCAAAAATCAAAAGACAACCTGCAAAATTAATATGGAACTGCAGACAAACGTTACTCTAATTTCATCATCAAGTACTGGTGACAAATACAGAGTCAACAGCACTTCAGCTGAATGTAGCTGGAATTCACCTAATCTTGTAGTCCCTAAACTATTGGACAGTATGATTAAATTGTCAAACATTTACAAAACTGAAGGCATAGCTTACTTGACAGCTTACTTGATCTTGGTGTTGACTTGGTGGTCGAGAGTGGGACAACTTCTCTGGCAGCCTTCTGTCGAGACCATGTCCATTCTCCAAACGAGATTCCCTGGGCTTGTCAAACCAATCTGTTTCTTCCCGGCGGAGATGATAGGCTTTGAAAACCAAGGACAGGTCAAATGTTCTGATCCAGTGCTGGGCAAAGGGCAATAATGTGCACTGTGCATAGCAAACATGCATAGTGATTATTAATTGGCCATGCAGCTAAAGCAAAGTTACAGGCGAGACTTGAGACATTGAACTCAGGCAGAATTTAGCTGTAAGTTATATAGCAAGGTGAGAAAATTCGGTTTATGTCAGAACTATGGATATTAAATCCCAGAAGAAACCCACTGCCTAGTGCTATAGGCTCTTCCTTCCTTCTGGAAGTTCAGAAATACACTGCAGATTCCATACATTTCTAAAATGTTGGATGAAAAAAATTAGTCAAATTAGTTACCTTGCAGTAGGCTAAGAAAAAAACTAAAACAAAACCTAACCCAAAAACCTAACCCACAAAATGCAACATCCGCTAATTCCCAAACTTCTGAACTGAATATTGTTCAAAATATTTTTTAAATAATCTAGAACTATTTATAAGAAATGAAATCAGTATCATCCCAAATCAAAGAAGATATGAAGCAATCTATACTCTTTGTAATTCTAAGCAGAAATATTGCAAGTGTTCTCATTTTGAATTCCATCCCCAGATTTTGCAGTATGAACCTTCCTTGTGTGTGCAAAGTTAGCCAGAATGTTCTTTCTGCAATAATTCTATAAGACTAATGTTCTTATATTTGCAACAGTTCTAAACCTGTATAACATCTATTGTGTTAGATACCCTTAGGGATCAAATAACACTGTTTCATTGAAATCAGTTTTGCAAATACACATATTTATGCCTACTGACTATTGGGTCAGCTGACATAGGTTTCACTCCACTGGGATCCGAATCAGCTCCTATGTGTTTAATAACATTGCCACTATACAACATCCAGATTTTCAGTTATGTTGCCCATCAGTGTAAACCAAAACAATGTGCAGCTAATTAGAATATAATGAAAGTTTGAATTTTATGCTTTAATAAATGAGATCAATTTGGAATTCAAAGAAAGACAATTTTTGTTTCAGCAAAACCACCAGAAATCGCAAACCTTAAATAAGGTCAGTTGTTGCTATAGTAACAAGTGTGAATGCAATGAAGAGTGAATGTTCCATGACATAGAAGAGAATTTAAAATTAAAAATAGTAGTAGTGTGCATAATTTTCTCTATGTAGTTGTTAAAGTAAACATAATCTAGTTCATTTAACAAATAATTGGAAAAAATGTTAATGGGAGAAAAAAAAAAGTTTTGTTTTCTTCATTACTATTTTATTAAATTTCTCCAAAAAGAGGAATATTATATATGTGTGGTTTTGGAAAAATAATATTTTGTATGTGGTAAAAACAACATCCTATATTATATTAGGCCTTTGGACAATTCGTAATCTTGGTTCAGATATGCAGTCCCTTCCTAACTGTGCATAAATTTGATCTAATACAAAATGGCCTGAAAATATTATTTAGATCAGTATATATGAATTAAACAGAATCATTACTAAAGTTTGATGCTTATCTGGCTAGTGCCTGCACATAACAGGCTGCTTCATAACTCATCTTGACAGAAATTCTTACTGAAGCTTCCATGAAGACCCTAATGCATGTTTCTGACCCCAGATACTAATGCTGACTATCACAATCTGTGTCATTAGCTGAGCAGAAGAAAGAATGATAATTTTTTTCTCCTCCTATCTCAGCTGAAAGAACATTTGCTGGATTTCTTGCTTAGAAAAGCTAGCACATATATAGAATCCCATACTGCAGTTCAGACCAGACTACTTTTTTTTATCAGACTGTCATGAAGTAGTGTATTTTATATGAAATTTAAAAAGGTATGTAAGTATGTGTATATAGACACACACACGCCACACTCATATGTACATACACACACAACTGGTTTGGGCATGATTAGTTGGGATTTGTCTCAGCTGGAAACCTGAGAACAGACAAGATGAATCACCAGCAGTCTTAGAGGATACATCCTTTTTTCTAAGACTAACATTATGCAGCCAGATAGTTCCACCTGTAAAAAACTCCTGCTGGAGTCAATGAGGTCCCATGCTGTTTACAGCACACAGTTTATCAAGGTGAGATTGAACTCCAGGCTGTGGAGTTCCAGAAGCTTGATCAGGGAACTAATAGTGATCACTCTAAATCCCACAGATGAAAAATTATAAGGGGTCAGCTTTGTTGATGTCTTGATGTCTTCATACCTCGATTTTAAACTTCTAAACTCTATGGTAGAATCAACAAATTAACATACAAAAGAAAAAAACCCACCACAAACAACACCCTCAGGTACATTTTGTATCTTCTCAGCTGACTAGCAGGGACTATTGACATTCATAAAATTGAGCACTAGCTTCAGCATCCTCGAAAATTAGTATCTTCAACATACTGAAAAGTTTGTGGACACTGTGGCAGCTATGGAGTTAATCAAGAGCTATTTGCTGGATCAGAGCTTTCATGGTATTGGGAACTCTGAGAAAACATCAGGTGTTTCAAAACTCAGAATGCTATTTATTTTCAGTGGGAACCTCTGGATGTTATGGTCTTTTGACACTAAAGACGTTTTTTTAACCTGTTTGATGTTTGATCCTAGTGTAGGTACTACTTATGTGCTGAAGTATGACTGTAAGATTTGTTATAGTATGTAGGTGTACAGAGTGAAAAACAGAAGGTTTGGCCTCAAAGTTCTATTTGTATTCTCTTGTAGTATTTGTTATGGAATGTGGCTTATAAAAAATGAATAGAGAGGCAAGCACATCTCTCAATTTGAACTGAAGAAAAACAATTTCAATTTAATACCTTGACTTACATTTATTTTTAAAAAGTCTCCAAAGATGAAAATTCAAGCTTTAGTGCAAGTTTTCCTAAGGTAGTGCTTAAGACTGAGTTGTTTTAATGCAATCTCATCAACACCATGCAGCAGTTTTTTAAGAAAAAAAGAAAAAGCAAAGCAAACTGCGTTAAAAGGCTGGATGCAACATGCCAGAATAGCTGTCCACTGTCACAGTACTACAGAGAAAAGTGCAGTCCAGAGAAAAGAAGGCCATAATGTTCTGAAGAACTGTAATTGCTTCTTTGGAACATTTGTTATCTTACATCCAAATTATTATTATTTTAAATTCAAGTTGCTTGCTATTAGACAGCATATTTGAAAATAATGTCATAAAGCATTTTGCTTTCCCAAGACTTTACATAAAATGGTGCAAAAAGAAGCTATTTGTGAAGAAACAAAAGCTTGATAGAAATTAGAAGAATATTGCTGAAAGGGGAAGCCCTCATATTCAGGGACATGTCTATCTAATAAGGAACATCCGAATTGAATTAGAATAGCTCTGAAAGAATGTAACTAATCAGAGACTAATTTAAAACCTAAACGTGTTCAACCTAAAATGCAACATGTACGCCCTGTACAAATATATAACAGAAACATAATGCACTGTAGTACAGAAATATAATTCCCTATGACCTGTTTATATGAGGTAGAATAGCACCAAATAGGCTTTTTTTGGTTCAGTTTGGTTCTCAGTTTTCAGGAGGAAAGTCCTATGTCTTTCACAATGTGGCCCTAGAATGACCCTTAAAAGTCACAGCTCAAGTTGAGACGAGATAGCATCTATTTAAGAAGAATGATATGAGTTGCAATTTGGGGAGTTCCTCTCAACTGCCTTCAGATGTGTGCTAAGAATTTAAGAACAGTGAAAACACTTAAACTTCTGATAAAAATCAAAAAAGCTGACGATTCTGAACCTCCCCTGAAACAGAGACTACATGAGGGAGTTGTAAATATCTAAGAAATATGAAAAGAAACTTACAGAAGAAAACCCTTCAATATATTGTAGGATGAGGAAGGCAAATAGATTAAATTTTCTAATGCTTATGAAAGATTCAGCTTATATAAAAAGCAATAATGCAATAATGAACATTGAGGTTAATATAAACCTGAAAAATAAACCATACTACTTCATAATCATGCAAATGTGATTTGAGACAATCATCGCCATTTACAGACAATATAGCGCATGCAAAGTCTCTTTTATTGTGCAGTAAATACACATAAGAAAAAGTTAAGGGACCGCATACAATTTCAAACATTAATTTCATTTTCTTTCAAGCTGTCTTTATGATTTTTAAACAATTTGGAATATATTAAGTCTGAACTGACTCAAACAAAACTGGTACATAATTTGCATTTATTTAGTACTTAACATCAGCTTTAACATTCTGCTGCACTTATTCAGAAGAAACATTTTTAATTGCACCATTTATAATACATCAGAAAGGTTCCTTTCATGAACCTAAGTGAGATAAACTCTTGTGCTTATTTGGCAGACATATTGTATGGGGTGCATATAAAACCAGCTACGCTGCATAATCCATCAATAGAAGTAAAATACTTTATGCAAGTTTATTAAAGGATGAGATTCTCTTGCACCATCCAAATGACAAATTATCTTACATCATCACAATTCTGAATGCACAGAAGTCCACATGACAGGATGTTTTCAACAGACCATGTGTAGAATGTTATTTTGCTATCACATTAAGCTCTATATGGTTCTGGCATACAGTATGTACTTAATGAACATACTATTTCTATATAAATGCAGATCTAAAGGATTGGGAGATGGAATTATCAGTTCTTAAATTCTATCATGGAATTTCATGCAAATAAAATTACTAGAGTTTTTTAGAGGATTTGGGAGATTATTTCCAAATCCAAACAAAAACTATTTCAAATAAGTTCAATGATTCACAGTCACTGGAGAAGGCTCCACATAAAGACTGATGGTACGGTATATACTGTACATGGAATATTCTACACAGTATCATTAGAAAAGTAGACATCAACGAGTGAAAAGGAAAATGCAGAAGCAAACCAAAAGGAAAGCAAATCAACTACACAGTGAGCATGCTACAGTAGCTTAACACCATCCAGAAACTGCTGTTAGGATGAAATAAAAAATATCAAATAAAACACAACAAATCAAACCCCAAAAATGTAGATACACAAAAGATGCACCAAAGAACAGAAAAAAGAACAAGTCTTTGCAGTGTAACAAAAATTAGACACATGCATAGAAATGAGGATTTGCGTTGTGATAGTAAGATATCAGTCTGAGGCCTAATTTACCTTCACTGTCTGACATGGCATGCTGGAAGTCATCCATGATGAAGGCTATATCTCGATCATAGCCTCGAGTCCGTGACTCCTCCCTCATATGTTGCTGGACCTCAGGTAATGAATGGCTTGATCCAAACTGGTCCCTGGTATCTGCAGATATTGGTGGCAAGGGTCCAGCTGCCGCTCTTGCCATTCCCATTGGCTGGCCAACGGGACTTAGTGGGCTCTCTTCCTCTGAGTTCTGGGCTACTATTGGGATCCTTCCCCTGCTTTGGCTAATAGGTAGACTGGTGGGTTTAGTTCTTCCAGAAGGTGTTGCATGGCTAAATGAAACATCTAGGGGTTCAGCTTCTTGGGCTTTCAGTCTTAAAGAAGAACTGGAAGAATCCCTTTTCAATGACAAATCAAGCCCATAAACTGAGGAGGGTCTAGATGAGGGCCTAGATCTACTACCACTGCTATAAGACTTGTCTGCTTCATCTTGTAATGTGGATCTCATTGCTGGACCCAGTGCAGTTCCAAGACCTGCTCCAATGGATGAAGTCAGTGGTGGCCCCATGTATTTCTGTTGGTCAGTGATGTTTTTTCTAAGGCCAAAAGTGATATCATCCTGAAGAAGCCTTGCCCTAGTAGTAATTCCCCCAAGTGTTGAAGTGCTAGAAGTCATATAGCTTGAATAGTCAGGCTCAAGGTCTCTGCTTTCTTGGATAGGTGAAAACTTTGTTAGTTTGGGGTCTATCAAAGCTTTCTTGTGTTTTGACTGCTTCTGGTAAAGGAGGGCTGCTGGGAGCTGCTTAGCAGCCTGTTTCTCAAGAGTAAGCCTACCTATGCTATATTTCTCAGATTTTGGAAAATGCCTGTAGCTGCCCTCTGCGTGGTAATACTGTGACAGGCCAGCCAGATGATCAAGACTTTCTGCACCTCTACGGAACTCTTGTTTTATCTGGTGTTTCAGAAGTTTGAGCTCATAAGGGTCCTCCATTGGGTCTTCATCAGCTTTAACATAGGAATGCAACCTAGAAGAAGTCTGCAGTGGTGCTAGGAAGTCTGACACTTCCTGTGCTCTCCTGGCCTCAGTTGTGCGAAGCAGTCGATCTGTTTTGGTCAGATCTTTCTCATGGAGACTAAAACTGGAACCAAGTGCTCCTGTTCCTTTAGTGAGTTCTCCTATATCATCAATGAGCACATAATTTCGGGGTGTATGGTGGTGGTCTATATCTGCATAGAATGAATCAGCAGATATACTTGATATAGGGCTGCTTGCTATGCTGTTTCTCTCATCTAGTCCTATCCTTAAGTCCAAGGTAGAGTATTTACTGCCCAGCTGGGAAACTGCATAATTATTGTCAGTTGAAACTGGTGCTATCATGAGAGGCTGATTGCGAATTACATCATAGTTTGTTGTTATCTTAGGCTCCAAATATAATGTAGTTTGTCTTGGCTTTGGCTGTATCACCATCATCTGTGATGGGAGTTGATACGATGGCTGTTGAGATGGTGGAGGTTGAGCCTGTGGAGTAAAGGACATAGTAGCTCCCGTTTGGAAAGCTGTCTGGGTCTGATAGGGTGAAACCTGCTGGTGATACAAAGGCTGCTGTTGTTGGTAATGTGATTGCTGTGTGAACTGAGTTGGTGCTTGAGTTGGCAGGGCAGGAGATGAATACTGATATTGAGCATATGGGCTTGTAGCAGGGGCAAACTGTGTTTCTGGCTGGGTTTGTGGTGGCATAAACTGGTTAAATTCTGTCTGTGGTGCAGTACGTGGTCTTTCCAAGCCGTGCTGAGTTTCTATTCTGGTTGACCTGGTATTATTAACTTCACTGTCTGACATATAATCCCGTTCTTCTGCTACTCCTTGGAGATAGGCACGCTCTCTCTTTTCTCTTTCTTTTAGTAAGGCTTCTTTCCTCCTATTAATGCCCATTTCCAAGTATCTAAGCTTGGCATCTATTTCTTTTTCCTCCTCATCTAGCTCTGCTTGCTTCTTCCTAAGCTTGGCTGATTCACGTTCAACCAGATCCAACTCCCTGTCTATATCCTGAAGAATTTTGGCTCTGGCCATAGTGTTGGTCCTACAAATCCTTCTGCGTGAAACTGATCCTACAGAAGTATATGGTGACTGAGTTCCTGCTGTTGCTTCCTCTGGAGGTGGGTTGGGCAGAGTCCTCTTCACCTTCTTTTGAGTGCCTGATGGAGTTATGCTTGAAGAACCTTTTGCCTGCAATAGAAGAAACAAGACTGAATCACTATTCTGGAGGCTTGATTGCAAATTAATCACAAAATGTTTAATTCTTTTTCATGGTATGGCTTTATATCTTAACCACATACTTTCTCTGATGGAAAGGAAGCTTCTGGTATCTGTGAATAAGCAGCAGAAAACGGCATGAAAAAATGTCATCAGTCTGCTAAAGGTCAGGAAGATAAGCCATCTAATACAAAATAAGGGTGACACTCACTAGGACTTTATCGTAAAGTTGAAAAATCTACTTTACATTCTTGAAATTGAACTGAATGTAATTTAAAAGTGTGGTGGTTTTTTTATCTCCGTATGCTTGTACATAAACATATACAGTCCATGTGTGTGTGGGAAGCAAATATATAGAGACATATGCACCTTCCTTTTATATAACATTTAATAGAAAAAATATAAGTATAAATGTACATGTATACATTTTCATATATAAATATATGTATAATTTGTACAATCAAATAGAAAGTCTTTGAGCCAGACGCTGAGCGCATACTGAGCAGCTATAACTTGTACTAAAATCCAGACACCAAAGCAGGTCTTTTTGGTGCCAACACACCTGGTACAATGGGTAGTTCTTAGTCCACCTTGTCATTTTTGCCTCACCTCTGCTGCTACATATATATTTTCGGGGAAGATTCTTGTGCTTTACAAAAGAGGTGTGAACTTTCTTCAGTTCATTGAAGATTTTCTTAAGTGAAATATGTTCCAGTTCCAAAGCTACAGTTTAAAACTTCAAAAAAGAAGTTAAGCAGTATAAAAATATAGGAATCTAGTTCAGTACAGATGTCCAAACTTCTCCACAGATAATGGCAGAAGAGTGATTCATCCTGATCTAGAAGTATCTACCTACCAAATGATGAGTCAGTTTTTGGAGGTGCCTATCTCTTTTCATCAACTAGGAAAGTAGGCAATGCAACTGGTTAGATGCAATCTAAATTCCACCCTAAATTACTAGGGGTTTTCAAAAGTTCTTTTTAGTTTTGAAGTAAATTTAGGGTTCAGCAATGTAGATACATTAAGAAGTGGGACTGGAATGATTTTGAAATTGTATCTTATCTCCCCAATAGCTTCTTATGAATTTTGCCTTAGGAAAGGAAAAGAGATTGGTCTAGACACATACACTAAAAATAATCACCTCAGCCATTACAGAATGTAGCCATGGAAAGACTTTAGCACATTTTAATAAGGGAAGTAAAAAGAATATTAACCAACTTGACTTTTCTGTCTCTGCAGGCAAGCACAGCACTTTAGCAAGCATTAACTGCTATTAATTAAAAATTGAATTTCTTCTGAAATAAATGCTACTTCACTCAGATAAGAAGTCAACAAGATTAATTTTAATTAGAAGTTTAAAAATCACTATTTTCTCTGATTATTCTAATATGCCGTCAACAAATCATAGAAGTTTTTAAAAAGTGTTGACAATCCTCTTTTGCTGCTCCCTGGTTACCTAACCTTAGCAAATCACAATAATCAACACATCATTTGTCATGGATCTTTAAAGAAACATTCACTACCTTTTCAAGTGCCATTTAAGCTCTTTTTATCCTCTTCATCTAAATTCCATCAACTTTTTCATGTTTCAGATTTCAGTAAATGCAATTTAATTTTGTTTTCAGCTTCCCGTGGCCATTTCCCAAACCCATGTTGTGCCAACAAATCAAAGAAACTAATTTTCTCTTGCTCAGTGTGTACTGACAATCAAAGACAAATTAATAATCTACAGTAGGTCTAGCTGGCTATTAATTTATATTGTAAATTCAGTGCAATACCACTGTTATTTCCCCCTCCCAAACGGAAATAGCAATCACAGATGGTGAAGCAGTCACAGATGGTCACTGGTATTGGGGAAGAGCTAATAATAGCACACCCATTACAAGGTCTATAATACTTTATGGAATGATTATTTTCAGATGACACTTAAGTTGCTGATGAATAAATCCCAGTATCAGCTTATATGTAATTTTATTTAAAAAAAAAAAATGTATCTTGTTTTTATATCTTTGTCTACATACAAACAAGCTCAGACTAATAGACACTACCAGAAGATGTACCACTTGGTTTTTCAAAAGTATTGATAATCTCTAGTTCTCAGTTGCTATTCTTACAAAAGGCAAGTCTTAATTTAATTTTTACATTGGGATAAGAAAAAATAAATATGATATTTTAGTACTGTGATAAAATGTATGTTGTTTTTTTTTCTTCCTGGATATTCTCATCATCAGTTATGTTAACATGCTACCTGGGAACTACGTTAATAGGTTTAAGGGAAGTTCAAGTGCAGTATTCTGGCAGATAACTTTAGAGTAGTTGTTAAACTTAGGTTTTGCATTTCCTTTGAATTCATTAACTAGCAAGGAAAACAGACAAGCTAGGGCTGATCTTCACTAAATTCTAGTCTCCCTATCACAAAGAATTGGGAGTGGAAAGGAGTAATTGTGCTGTCTAGCCCTACCCCTGTACTTTTGGTCCCTGTAACACATTTATAATGTTATGCTCATTCTAGGTTTAAAGCTTCCAAAGGAAAGATGAGGCAGAAACCTTCAAGAGATTACTCTGGAGCCAAATTAAAAAAAAAACCTATCAAATACAGGCAGGCATTCTTAGGCCTTACAATTAGTAGTTAAAGGTTAGGTTAGATGTTGTATTTTATCACTTTTTCCATCTTCTTCATTCTAACCCATTTACTTCTAGCTATCTACTATCACTCTCACTAATTTTTAAAAATCCTTCTGTGTTTAGCAAATGATCACTAGAAATGCTGACTGTAAATCTCAAGAACTAGAAGTAAATGATTCTGCTTCTTGTTTCACCACGAAACCTTATAAATGTTATCACTTTATTGCTGACCCTTATATATGGAGAGAATTTCACAGTACTCTGGATCATCCCTTCACGATGGACATAACGATAATAAGACCTGCTTCTGAGGCAAAGCTAACCTTGCTAAAATAAGTCCAAAGCTTGTACTTGAGATAAAGCTACCGATATGTTCTGCCCAATACTACAGATTAAAGAACTGTGGAAGAAACAATCTCTCCCCCCGCCCCCCCAATTCTGAAGCTTAACAATGTTTTGATAATAAAGACAGGAGAAGAATGCACTCAGCCTCGCAATGACAAGATAACATCACAGTGAGGAATTCAAAACACTGAGCTGAAGGTTGCGTGCAAATAGATTTAGCAAAAATATCCTTTTCTGCCTTGCCAATACACATTAGTTTCAACGTGCTATACCTCCTGAGTTTAAATTTTTAGAAGTCATCTGGACAAAGCCTTGTGAACCCTGTTAAATTGTGTGGTGACTTTGGAATAATTCCTTTGAGATGACCATCATATCCCTTGTGAATCTTTGTGAAAATACTTTTTTCTACCTATTTTTGTCTCTTCCAATTTGATGGCATTGCTGATGAGGTCAGGAAGACTTGGACCCACTACAAGAATCAGTCAAGCACTAGGAAATACTCATACGTTCCATTGCTTTTTATGTGTTTTAAAGAAATAGTTTACTTTGGGGGACTGAATGGCTCAGGAGATCTGTGATGAATTTCTACCTCTAAATAGTGTGTCTGATTCTCTTTACTCAATCTTTCTCCTCCTCTTCTCAAATGAATTTGTTTGAATACGATATGATGCTGTTCTTGTATCTTCCTCTCTCTACATTCATCTAGCCACGTTTGGATATTAGCTTCATTTGCTCAAAGAACTCAGCTTTGTATCGCACTCGGGCATACAACTTTTATAAGCTTCTTGCATGTTTTGGATTTCAGTAGCAAATATGTCACTCTCATTATTCATTGTTCTTTTAACATTTTCTGGGATCACAGCACAAACAAACTTAAACTTCTTCTATCCTCTTTAGAGCTGACAAAATAGACCTGTATTTATATTATTTTTTGGTATAAGTACAGACTAATCCTGAAAATAATGTATATAATATGTATACTTATATGCTTGTGCACAAACCAATTACAATCGTAATGACAGGATCCTCACTAGGGCTGGCCACCACTAATTTGTCTATGTAATATACACAGTGATGTTAGACTACCTACAGTCTGTGATGCTATGAAAAAGCAAAGGTAAAGTGGGTCACAGCTGAAGCTACTCCTCTGCCACAATCTTCTGAAGACTCAACAGCATGGTGGAAAGCCTGCTCTACACTCTAGAGGAACAAAACCTTACTCTCTGCAGGCTAAGATATCCTGAAGCATCTGATGTTGACTTGCAACGGACTTGAACCGTCAGCAGAAAGTTGGTTATACCTTGATTACCAGAAAAAACAATGCAAATAATATTTTTTTCTCTTCAAACAAGGACTATGAAGTCAATAAGTTTGCTCAGCAAATTCATGACTAGCATCAGTTCCAGAGATGCACGCTGATGCAAATAAAATTAGTGAGAATAAATCATTTGCATCTAGAAAAGATGTTAAGCAATGGAGGGCTCCAGGGAGACCTTATTGAGGCCTTCCAGTACCTGAAAGGGCCTACAGGAGAGCTGGAGAGGGACTGTTTACAAGGGCATGGAGTGATAGGACAAGGGGTAATGGCTTTAAGCAGAAGGAGGGTAGATTTGGATTAGATTTTAGGAAGAAATTCTTTATTGTCAGGGTGGTGAGGCACTGGAACAGGTTGCCCAGAGAAGCTGTGGATGCCTCATTTCTGGAAGTGTTCAAGGCCAGGTTGGATGAGGCTTTGGGCAACGTGGTCTGGTGGAGGGTGTCCCTGCCCATGGCAGGGGGGTTGGGACTAGATGATCTTTGAGGTCCCTTCCAACCCAAACCATTCTATGATCCTATGATTCTGTGATACTCTCCCATTCTGAAAAGAGGACTCTTTAGGTGGTGACCAATGCCAGTTACAAAGGCAGCGATGGAGTGGAAGGTGAAGCCTGTGCTGTAGCTCTCTGTGTTCCAGTTCTCACATCTGGGATTTTTCATATATCAAAAAACTCCCCAAAGGTAAC